CTGATAGTACCATGGTGTATTTTGTTGATGTTCAATGCTGATCTCACTATTTTGTACATCAACTAACAGTACAGCAGTTTTGCTGGGAATTATAGTTGTCAACCTTGTTTGATACACAGTCATTCTAAAATTCAGAGTCATAATCTACTACTTTACTATAAGCCTGAAATTTATTTCAAATAATAATCCATAGCACGACTTTTCTTTTCCATCATATAAGTTACCTTGAAGAAAAAGAATGACTTTAAACCAATAATTTATTAGTCTTCTCTCGAATCTGTCGAGGTAGAAACAAGATACCACTGTTGATTGTGTCAATATCAGTCCTTCGTATATAGTAGTACAAAAAAGTCCATGCTACTAAAATACTTGCTGTCGAACAGAACATAGTTACCTCTTTTGTGCGTCGTTAGTTAATGTGCACATGTTCGTTTTTCTTTCACGTGGTGTATACCATAGTAAAAAAAGGAAATTAAGCAAGAATGTTTTTCTCTTTCTATTCATATCGCATACAAGCATGTGACTCTTCATCAAATCAATACTCACCACAATTCACTCTACAAATATGATTTATATCAAGCATGAAAAGGAAGAGCGTTTTTCTCTCCTATGACGAATGTATTAAATGACGAGTGTTGCAAGTGGCACCAACCCTCATCCTCAAAGCTCAGCTTCTTGTAGAAAATTCTCATGTGACAATAATATCTCGTCACTTGCCGTAGTGAAATATTGCTAAAACAAAAAAAGAGATTGTATACAAAATGTCATGGGCGTTGTTAACAACTGTGAATGTAAGTTGTTTTTCTTGTTTGTCGTTACAACTAACTTCTCCTTGAATGAGGTGTTCAAAAGATTTGACATAATTTATTCCAAGACGTATTATTTGCATTCACTCAACTAAAGTCAAAATAGCAAGAGCAATTTCATTCGAAGCTGATTTCACTGAATTTCATCATAATCTAAAAGAGTGAATGTCTTGTCTGCAACTTTTCAACTTATTCAAACTCCATCTCGCCGACGATTTTTTCTTATGAAATGAAATCAATTGGATAATTTCAAAGACTATGATTTGGAAAAAGTTGTTCTCCTAATGATTCTAAGCCGATGAAACGAATATTTTATTAAATGAAAATGCGTGAAGTGCGAGTTTTTCCTGGAAAATACGACTATTTTCATAAAACGATTTTTTTAACGAATGACCTAGTATTTAAGATACAAAGTCCGATTAATCGAATGTTGAGTAGGTCTTCGTTTCATTTTATGCTGTTCATTCAAGTCTCATGTTTATACTCTAACTTGTCTTGGTCTCAGTGTGTTTTTTGCATGCGTACGTATTTATTGATGATATGAACTGTTTTCAGTTAATTATATGAAGTTCATTTACAAAAATGTTTTATAGATCGACAAAACGAAAGTGAGTTTTATGTAGATCTTGTTTCATAACTATATGCGCCCTAAACTAAATTTGATGGTGAGTTTCATAAGAAAATTTTAATCCATTTTCGAAAAATCACTCCTGCTGCTCTCTTAATCATGTAAATTATATTTTTTTTCGAAGAAGTTGATGAACTTATACACTATTCGTATTTGAAACCGCCAGTAAAGTATTTTTATGGGTATGATTGTGGATGTAAGTGAACTGAAGACTCGCATCCACATCTTCACATCCTCGTGAAACGCTTTTCAATGTGTTGTATACAATTATTCGTTCAGATTCAAATGATAACGACGATGTTCAATTAATTTCTTAATGTTATCGGCTTGATACAGAATCCCATACCGGCTATTTATGTACTTCGTTCGATGTCACTAATTCTATAAATTCGGTATAGTAAAATGCTTGTTATATGCATAATACAATCGTTTGTGACTCATAATTAAAGACAAAACATTTTTTGAAGAAAACTTCGTAATTTCAATTTAAATATTCTATCAATTAAGTGACAATATAAGAATATCCTAACGCAGCAAAATATCAAGTTCAAATATTATGGAAGAAAAAACATATGATGAATTCAAGAGTGTTTCTATTAGGGTCGTGCTTCTTTGTCATATCAGGTGTATATGAATACAACTGAATGTAGATTTACTAGCTTTTTGTATCAATAAAATAATTAGATAAATTATGATATACTATTGATGTAAGTTACATAGACGATTGATATATAGAATAAGCACATTTTTTTTTTGATTCATTGTAGAACGAAAACACTTTAATGTTACTTATAACATAAAAAAACATCAAGACTGCATCCTATTCATCAAATGATTTATTTATATCGATTGGAGCAATCAATATGCTAGAATAGATTTCAATTTAAAACCTTGTTATGATTTAGTGCAATAAAATCTATTTAAACTATTTTTTCAAATTTTATCTACGAATACTTACAGAAACTTCTTCGAATTTCAAAGTACTTTTTGTGACAATCTTTCTTGCAAACAAGACTCTTACGAGTGGAATAGGTGATTACTCCATAGTCGAAGATTTCCGTCAACTTCATTCCCACAAAATTATATTGTTCTTCTTTTGGTCACTATTATTGCACTCATATCGACTACTGTTGAGTAAATTTTAAGAGGGCTTTTGTATGTTATTCGACTATGGTTTAAATCAAACAAATATCTCTACAACGATTGGTATCCTGGAGTATTATATGATTTCACTATGCACAAGTACTAGTAAAAATACGATGTCTGATTAAATGATGATAGTAAACTATTTATAAACTTTTCCAAAAAAAACGAGATTCAAATAACGTTATTAGGTAATATAATTTATATTTTCACATTTTCTCTGTTTCAATTGTTAGGTATTGATACGTGATTGTTACGTGTAATTTCGTTTGTGTTCTCTCATATTTGTTTGACCAGTGAACGACCGTCAAGTTAGTCATCTATGTTTTTTGCTGTTCTCTATTGCATGACCATTGCAAAGGTGAATGTGCGCACTTTTGCAAGTAATTGTTTTTCTTTTTCTAGTTCAGTACATCAATCTGTCTCCATCTGTAACAATATAATGCATGTAAGACAAGCCTTTTGACATTGTTATGGACTTATATTATCATAGTTTCATGGCAAAAAACAAAAATGGCAAGAACAACATATGATGTATAGTCCTGATCATGTTAATATCGTTTTAATAAACATCGTTGTTGTGAGTTTTGAAAAGCAAAACTATGGCATGGCTTTAGAATCGTTTTGTTTTTATTAGCATTGTTTAATTTATCTTGAGAACAAACAGGAACTAAATATCATTCGAATCCTATTGTTTCATGGAATTTTTTCAATGGTACACGTATTTTATATCGTTGAATCGTTTATTCAGGATCCTAAATTCATGTTTCATTCGTTGACTGATCCGTTGATTTTTGTTTTAACTAGTGATAATCATATACAATGTTAGTATCCTATTGATATTATTCATTGGTCACTTATATCTCGTTTTGGCTATATGAGCATGGTTCTCATGGCAAAATTTGTGAATGCCCAGACCTTATCGAATTTCTACAGACAAAACCAAAGAAAAACAAGAATCTATCAATTTTAATAGCGTCAGTGCCAAATAATAATTGTTGCCAACGGTTCACGTATGCAATGTTTTATTGGTACAATTGATGGAATTATGCATATTATTTATCACAATATTCCATGATAAGATTGAAGACGAATAATGATCTCTTGAATGAGCAGCTCCATTATGACAGGGTCAAATGACTATTCCTCATCTAGTAAAACTTGATTTTAATTCATTTACAAATATTTATCATCTTTGACAATTACCTGTTCATGAACTTAATTCATATTTCAAAAGGCTTCTTACATTTTATCATCGAATTCTTAAATCAAGTAGATCAAATGTTCCTAGTCATTGATTTATGCTTTCGATTGAATTTCGTAATATTACAAAGACAACAATTATACGCTTACATATGTTCCATCAAGTTTCAACAAAAGTGAAAATACACAAATCAAATATGCTGCTCAAAAAAATCAAATTGAATTTGATTGATCACATTCAGATAATATTGATTTTCATTCTCGTTTCTTTACAAAATTCAATATAATACTAGACAATGAACTCGTTAAAAACGAATATACCAAAAATTCAAATCAATGTTCAGTCGAAGTATTTATTAATGCTGTGATCTTTCGTAAATATAAAAGTTATCAAATGCAATTATCAGTTGAGAAGCAACCCATCACATTGAACTATTTTGAATTAATGCTTTTAGAAATAAAACAATATATGTGGAATCTATGTTTTGTCTATAAACTTATGATGAACTCACGAAGAGGTGAATAATTTTTGGAAAAAAATACTCATTAAAAAACAGGAGGTGATTTATTACTGTAAAACGATCAATATAGTTTTTGTATTTACGTCTTTGTTGACCTGGATGAGTCATACTCAACTGTGTTAGGCCGCATAACGGAGACGTATATGGCTAAAAAAAATATGTCATCAAATGAGAAGCAGTTTTGGGAGTTCGAAGCTATTAGTGATTGGAGAGAATGTGGATATCCATAAAGAGATATTTACACCAACACAGCCACAGTAACACCTCATCCACACCGACACATCACTAGGTTTTCATACTTCAACAAGAAGGGAATGATGATAGCGAGATTGCTTGATAATCGACGAAAGAGAAATCAAAGAGGAAAGAGACAAAAAAGAAATGTAACAAATTTTCGAAAATTACTTTTTTGACATTATAAGCTTTTGATTTTTTTAAATTGTTTACCCTCACTCAAGTAACATCGGCGATGTTCAATAGGACTTGACAAACATGCTGTTAAAGCGCACTATAGTTAAAACTGATTCGTGGCAAAGACTAACTTCTTGCTTTCAGATCTTGAACAAACAAGCCGGAATGAATTCGTTAAAAACAATCAAAGCATCTTTTATTATGTCTCAAAAGATGTGCAATTATTTTATTTTTATTTTAATAATATGTGAGAAAAACATTATAGTCAAAGAAATAAGTTAATTACAATTATTGTGACATTGAAATCCATACAGCCAAGTTAGAAATAAACATACATAATAATAGAAAAAGAAAGACCAAATAATTTAAGGCATTGCATCTAGCTTCAATTTCCTTTTTATTTTTGCCTTTTGCTTTCTCTTTATCAAAATCAGATTGGCATGAATCACATCTGTTACAGAAGTCGCATTTTGATTTCATATTTTGGTTCTCACCACTGTCAGCAACAGCATTCTTCTTTTGATTTGTATTGCCATCTTGTTTGGGTAGTGGAAAGCAATAACAAAATATTCTTTGCAATAATCCGCAAAAATCATAAAGTAACTTTGGCATTTCAGCTTTTGTTGTAAAATAATTATATATGACAAACCATGTCATTGATAATAGTGTCCAACAAATTGATAATAAAAAGTATAATGTAATCGTCATTAAATATTGAGACTGTTGCGGAAATAGATTGGAGAAATTTAGTGAATAAACAGAATATGTCATAAAACATGTCATACCTAAAATGTAAATACAATATATTTATTTTATAAGTTCTATCTAGTATTCAAGAAAAGAAAATATTCTTACATAGACCAATTTGTGGTGCAAACGGTAATGCATATGATAACAACGTAACACAATTTAAAATCAAACATGCAAATATACCATTCATCATAAAAAATAAAGGTTTTCTTTGTAGAAATAATTGTATTGATATTATAGCATTATAAGTTTCTTCAAATGGTGCCCTATCTGATGCATTAATTACAATCAAATCTGTATCATATAATTTCCATAAAGGATGTTCACTATATCCACTAGTATCAATTACTAAACTACGATTTTCTGCATATATGATTCTATTGTATCCTTGACTCCATGATGTTAGATTGATGCTGCATATTTGTTTATCAAATGGAAACTTTTGAACATAAAAGTTACATCTTGTTCTTATTGTTAATGCTGGTAATATCATATACACTTGACCTGTGCTGTCGACAGATGCCAAACTATAATCACTCACTGTAAGATAACCACTTGCATCTGCTGAATTCAATATCATTGTATCTGGTATCCATATACTTTTAACCGGTAGCATAACTACTTCAATATTATTTGAAGCACTTGTATTCCATGATAGTCGATCATCAAACCATGTTTGTGAAATAAATGAACTTGATGTCATTATTTGTTGTTTTTCATCTATAGTCACAATTTGTTGCAATGAAGCAGTGATATAAATAGATACTTGGTCATCTGGTCTTATATTTTTATTATATCCACTTAATAATGTTGTTATCAATGTTTGTTCATTTGCTTGTGAAGGTGGTAATGTTCCACAATTACAGAAGTAGAATAGATAGCATACCAATATAATAAAAGATAGTAATTTTATCATTTTGAGATTCTTTGTTTCAGTACAATAGATCAATATGACTTTCCAAACCCGTTTATTACTCGTTGTTTTTATTCACAAACAAAAAAGAAAAGTTTCATTGTGAATAAAACACAGTATTTATTTTACGAATGCTTTACTTGTGCTATTCAAGGATTTTTTATCCTGGGGAGTCTGTTGGAAATATATGTACGTTCACAATTGTTTGAAAAAACATTCATTCCGGTGGAGAAATCAATTTACTTCAAAATGAAAAAAAGAACAATTTTCAAAGATTAGGGGAAGTCTTTTCTTCTCTTTGTTGTCTTCCACTCGAGGTCAAGAAATGTGGGCCGATCTCGGCAGGAAAAAGCCGGAAATTGATGGAAAATCTAAGTAGTATTCAGGACCAGAAAGTCTGCGGATGTTTGCAGGGACTTCCGATCATGAATCATCGGACAAAAGTCTGGAGACTTTTCGATCTGGAGTATTGTTTCAATATTTCATGAATTTTCGGTGTATTTCTGCCAGTTACAGAGAAACTCGATTGTTTCCGGAGTGCGACATCATCGATCTGGATTTATTACATGAATTCACTTAAAAGATTGCCCAATTATGAAAAAAAAAAGATAATTTTTTTTGTATAACTGTAAATGGATTTTCATTTTATGAACTTTTATATCGTCGTCATTCGTTTGTTGACTTTACTTTTCCGTCCGATTTCACAATTTCCTATTCAAATTATTTTATTTAAGTATCATACATTAGTTGCTATAGTCAATCTAAAATTGAATCACTTGTTATTTGACAATTATATATTAATTATGATTCATTTATTGATGTTATTTTACGCGAGAATAAATTAATATTAGATAGAAATAAAATATTGTTTCATTCTGCAAGATTAACAGTATTTCAAACGAGAAGATGAACATATGTAGAGAGTTAAAATTTTAGAAATTACTCAAAGATTTTTCGATATTATTAGCTAAAGCAAACTTGAGAATTTGTGATTTGATAAAAAAAAGTGATGGCATAAGTGAGACATTTGTATATGCTTTTTACATGACAACACTGGTCTAAAATAGTAACCGATCTACTAGTTGATTGTTGTTTGTATGATTTATTCAAATTTGATAATATGAGCTTTATTAAATTCAAAAAAGAATCTGATAATGAAACATATTCTAATGAATTCCATTCTTTCAACTTCCATCTTTTGATCGGTTTTGATTTAAGAAAACAAAAGAGTTCATGATACTAATTAAAAATCTTCTTTTTGTTCTTATTTTCTGATGAATCTACTACTCGTTTATAAATATAATGCGCTCCGTTATTTTGTAGAACTCATATTATGTTTTTCGAAGAAAAATATAATGAGTGTAAGTTTTTAGTCGAAGTTTGACGACTCCTTCCTAATAGCAAGACGAGGGAGAAGAACGTCAATAATTATAGGATGAATTTCTTTAGCAACCGAGAACAACAAGCATTGATTTCCTTGTTCAAAGTTTCTTAGCAATGGAAAAAGGCGATGAACAGTATTAACAATAAAACTTCGACTGTTCGAGAATGTTCTAGAACATAGAAAAAGTTTTCCTCGAAATTGGAATCGTTGTGATGCATTTGAGTATGTTCTAAATAGTGCATTGAAAATCGCTGTAGATATAAAGGAATACTTTAAGGAAGTTCATTTGTCAGTTAAATCAATGGTTAAAATAATAAGAATATTCAATTAAAAAAAGCGAATAGCAACAAGATAAACCAATTAATGATAGAATGACAGCAAAAAACAACTAAAATCTGATAGAGTTTTTTCATTTGACGTATTTTTTCTATCTAGTATAATGAGGCTAAAGAACATTTGAGTTCCATATTTTAGATCTAAAAGGACTCTATTGACAAGGATTTTAAATAAATCTAGAATGTTGATAGTTAATGATGTTCGATTTTCACCATTCAAAGAGTCTAAGTATGAGACATGAATCTATGTAATACTTACAAATTGCTGAATCATTTCGTATAAGTTCTAGTAAATTGTTCTTATTCTATATATTTAATCTTGACAAAGCAAGTTATTCAAATATCAGATATTAATGAAGATACAATAAAACAACTGCAGATTTTGATAGATACACTTGCCTCGCTTCGCTCCTCCAGATATTGAAAATCATAACTATCTAACCACTTCCGTTGAAAAGTTATTCAAAAGAAAAACAACGAAGTACATTATATGTTTCTAAGAATAAGATCTTCAAATAATAAAATAGACACAAACATGAATAACTTAAAATTTTGTTTAATCTTATCAAAATCTATTTATAGTTACAAAAACTAAAAAGAATTTAACATGTCGAATCAATCAAGAGAATTCTGTTATGATTATGAACGATTTTATTGTAAATAATTCCATTCGAATTGAACTATATTCAAAATGCTAATTGTGAATCGAATATTTCCTTGTAAAACTTGACAGATTTTATTATTTTATCATTTTATTTGTTATTTTCTATAACTTAAACATTATTCTTTCAATTAGTTTAAATTGCTTTAATTGATTTATAAAAACAATTCTGTGAACATCTTTTTCGTTTGATGTGTGAAATTGATTATTCTTTGCAAAATTAGTTTCTGAAGTGATATCAAGATTTGTTTTCATATTCGTCAACATGAAATGAAGAGAATTTTCTGGAAATGTTCTTCAAAAGTAATTTTCGATATGAAAACTGTTTTGACAGAAAATAGTTGAGATCGATCTTGAATGTACGGCAGAAAAAACGAAAAAAAAAACATGTTTATTCATACTAAAGAAATCGTTTTCATTAGTAACGGTGTGAGTGTGAATGTTAGTGAATAAAAGTCTCACACTTCACGCCCACACCCATTGTACAAGATAAAATCATCAGAAGAAAATAGTCGTCAACAGATTTCTGGAACTGTCGTTAGCGCAAATTGAAGTAAGGCGCCTGTTTCAACATAATATCGTTCTGTGAAGTATCTTTTCACTGTAGATCTCACTAGACTTCCAGTAAATCGCTACCTGTCGGNACAACGCTAATAATGCAGTGGGAGTTGCTGCTATATTGATTGTTCTTGACGTTTTTTTCCAATTTAGAATGAAAGCTTTTCAAATATTGTGGGATGTTTTAATCATTAAAATTTTCCGATTAGATGAGCCCTGTAAAATGCGCTGTTAGCACCGCATGTAATCAGCAGCAAGAAATCAAGTCGTTGTACCCACAATGTTCATAAATGAACCGAAAAGAAAAGAAATGTTATAAAAATGTATCAAGCACAATATGAGATGAAGTTGTCGGATGAATTATCGTGGCGAATGTGAATGTGCTCGAACTTGATTTCTTCTTGTTTTCTTTTTGATTCTTGAGAGTTTTCATGATTTACAAAATTGTCTAAAACTTTAGATTTATGAGATCTCACGACGGGTCAGCAGTATCAATAGGTTCTCCAGTCGCGTGAATCTCTGACTCAGCAGACATTTGCTTTCTTTGTTCACAATGTCGCTTGTCACCTGTCGCAGCAACTCCCACTGCATTATTAGCGTTGTCGGTTACACATTTGAATGATGATAATGCACATCAGATACAACAGTAACATCCTCGAGTCAAACTCTGTCAGCAAGAGAACTGCACAAAATTCGTACCTCTGCTACAGGGATATTTTAGTAGAAAGGGCAAATGTGTCATTTTATTTATAATTCGAACGATTCGGTTGGCAAATATCAGCAACAAAGGGCTTCTCTTTCAAATGGGTTATTCTCCGTTATATAAAATTATCAGTTGTTTGCCCAATTGGCTTTTATTCAACATGTTTCGAATCAATGAAAATTATGAAAGCTTCTCAAAAATCTAAAAATGTGTAACTACGTAAATGATGAGGTTTGATATCTAGGTCTACATTAAAAAGAAGCACACTAAGAAATATCGTTATGCGAAAACATCGACACTGTATCTATTAGCATCAGCCTTTGCTAAAACCGCTGCTGCTTCGGTCTCATCACATTGACGATGCTCTGCAATAATCTTAATAAAGCAAGTTTTCAATGATCCAGCAAGTTTCGTTGCACTTCCACAAGTGTAAAGGCGTGCACCTTCTGAAAACAATTTGATAATATCTTTCCGATCTTCCCAAACTAAATCTTGAACGTATTTTTTACCATCCTTTGATTCACGCGAAAAGACATGTTTCACCTGAACTGCACCAAGTTTCGACCATTTATCAAGTTCATCCGCGTATAAGAAATCTTTTTCTGATCGACATCCATAGTAAAGAATAGTAGGACCAATTTTTCTGCCACACACCATCTGTGCTGCTCGTTCTTGCATGAAGCCACGAAATGGCGCGATCCCAGTGCCGGCAGCAAACATCACTACTGGAATCTTTATATCGGTAGGTAAATGAAAGTTCGTATCGCTTGCTCGGACACTGCAACTGAGACGGTCGCCTGGCTTCAGATTGGCAAGATAATTCGAGGCAACACCATAGTACTGTCCCAGTCCACTTAATGCCGGAGCATTAAGAACGTCGATAGTAAGTGTCACTGATTCAGAATTGCATAGAGGCGAAGACGAAATACTGTATTGACGCACACGAAGTGATGGTAACATTCGAAGATATTGTGGAAATGAAAGGTCACACGACAGATACTGTTCGAGAATATCAAATATGGTAAGACGTTTATCGAGAATCTCTTTCTGATATGCATCACCGCCAAGACTTCGAAGTTTTGTTTGTTCATTTTCATCTTTACACAGTGTAGCAAGTGTTTCCACTTGCTTTCGACTGATTGGTTGACTCAGTTCGACGTAACCGCAGAGGATTGTGTATGCGCTCACAGGATAACCAGTTGGAAGAAATGTTTCTGTAGACGACGTGATTTTAATTTGAACATCAGTAGATAATTCGAAACGTTTAAGAATTTGACGAACAAGTTCAGGTGGATTCGTTGGCAATACAGCAAGATAATCTCCTGCATGATAGGTTTGTCCTTTCGGCAGCTCGATTTCGATATGTCGTTTTGCAGGCCCAAGTTCACTGTCTTCAACGATCAATTTGTTTTCTGTTACAATACCAACATCAGTAATTTGCCCAAGATTTCTTGTTGAATTAACAATTTCGATGGAAAGTTTTTCTTGACCGATAACAGCTTGTAATCCATTCATTTTGCATAATACTTGAAAAAGATTCTCTGTCCAGGCTTCAAATGCACCAAAGAAATCACCAGCAGAATCACCGATACCACGATCGACAATACGCGTACCACCAAGTTTTTCAAGTGTTTCATCTATATAAATTGGAATCTTTTGATACGTGTTAACCCAATCATGATGACCAGCTCCGAATACCGCATATTTGATTTTGAGTTCCGGTTTCGATTCAAGATATGCTACAAATTGTTTTGCATTATTGCACGGTTGGCCTTCGTACGAGGACGTCACTATTATCACAGGTCAATCACAAGGAATCGTTCCAATGACTGAGTCAAGAGTTGCAATTGTCGTATTGAATCCATGCGTAGGTGCTTCAGAGGCCAAAGTTCTGGCAAACGATTCACATGAACCGGAGTTGCTGCCGAAAAGAATGGATAACGGTTGAAATTGATTCGTCTCGGTGGTCTGCGCTTGAACAGGTGTCATCTCTTCTTGTTTCTTGACGCTGATGCCTAGTGGAATTTTGACTTGCTGACGTGGTCGAGCTCGTATTTTAAATCCTGCAGGTTTGATCGTTCCTATCTGTTTAATACGAAGATCATAAGAAGGATCAACAAATTCAAGATTGAAATGTTTAAGAATGAGTGCGGTGGCGATAAGACTTTCTTGTATGGCAAATGACCGACCAATACAGCCACGTTGACCATTTCCAAAAGGTTTCCAGGCATTTGGTGGCAAATTCTCGAAACCTCCGTCGAGTATTCGCTCAGGTAGAAAGTCTTCTGGACGATCCCAGACTTTTGTATCGCGGTGTAATTGACGTACCAGGACTGCAATTCGATCATCTTTGTGGATTTCATAGCCACCAGGTAGAATCTCTTTGTCTGCTTTCGATTCTACGGAAAAAAATGATGCTGAAGGTTGTAGCCGAAGTGTTTCTTTGAGAATAGCATCAATATATTTCAATTTCGGCAGAGTATCAACGGTGATTTCGTCAAATTGATCAGCTTCTGCTTGTGCTTTTTGAAAGACATGTGGATTTTTGATAAGGTAGTAAAACGCGAATGAGAGCAATCCAGAAGTTGTTTCATGACCAGCAATTAGAAATGTGACCATTTGATAACGAATATTTTCATCAGACAGTTGAAGGCCAGTTTCTTCATCTTTTCCGCTAATCATTCGATTGAGCAAATCATTAGTATCATTTGGATGCATGCGTCTGTATTCTACGATTTCATCGCACAGCTTGTGGATATAAGCAATATTATCTTGATACTGTTTTGCAGATTTAAGCATGAGTGTATTTTGTAACGGAAGTCGTTGAGAACGTCTAGCACCTTCAGCAAGGACATTGGTCATCGCAGCAACAAAGGGATGCATTTCGTTACGATAAAAACTGTTGAATCGGTAATCGAATCCACAAAGTGCAATTGTATCCAATGTTAGTCGAGTGAAATTATCGCAAACATCGATTTCTTCTTCGGCAAAGTGATGCCAACGTAAAATCAATTGAGAAGCAATATCCATCATTTGTGGAAACATACTTCGGATTGCATGCGGTCCAAAAGCAGGAACCAAAATGTTGTGTGCAAGTTTCCAATTCGGCTCCGATGTACGAGCAGTGAAGAGCCCATCACCAGCAACACATCGAATTTCCTCTATAAGTCCACTAAGTGTTTTATCGAATTTTGATTGATCACAAACAAAATTGACGAGTTCTTGACTGCATATGACGATAGTTCTACTGCCCAATATATTGAGACAGTAGATGTCACCATATAATTTGTGGAGTCTTAGAAAAGACCCCAAAGGAAAATCGGAATCTAATTCATTGATATTCCCAATTAGAAAACGTTCTTGAGGCTGTGGAATAGGTGTGGACATATTGTTTTGTTTTTCTCTTGCTACTAGGAACTGTCGAATGAACGAGTTTTCGGTAAAAATCAATTGGATTTTATGTTACCAACCCCTGCAAGAAACAATAAGAAATTATGCTTGAGAATGTTTCGGCTAGAATAGAACAACAACGGAAATTCCATAGAGGTTTTGCATGTTCACTGAATTGTAGCTACTGCGCTTAAGATAAGTCATGAGAGGTTGAAGAATTTCAAATATCCGCTCTGATTAAACAGGCTGTGGGGTGGGTGTGGGTTGATGTGGGTATGAATCAACTGAAACCCGCACCGACGCCCTTATCATTCATTTATGGCCCCTTACTCTTTTCCTTCAATGCACATTAGTAATAAATAGCAGTACAGTCGGATGTACGAGTCTTCCCTCTCCAAAATATTAAAAGACAGATGGCATTCGTCACTACTCCTTGCCAAACGGCATGCCTTTTGATGAGTCCCACGATCATATTGACCACCATGAGGATCCAAATGAGACCCCTATGCTCTATATGAAAACAACACTCCGGAAAGATGAGACTTTCTAAAAACCTGCACCTATACTTACTGAATCACACGCAGTTATTTTATTAAATTAAACAATTATTCAAATGATGACTTTGTCATATTCACTAAAACAAACCTCAATTTCTTACTACTTAGACTGTGATATCCTCTAATTCCAATGAAAATAAATAAGGCCTAAATATTTTCTTCAGCGACGTATTTAATTTCCTTGGCAATGTTATCTGTAGCAGAGAAAGCATAATATACATGATACTATGTTGGACATAAACCAACCATTTGAACTGTGGACCAACAGTTCGCCATAGTGAATTGGCAGCTTTGTACGGAACATGAAGAGCTACAATGTGGACGAGATCAGTTTTACTTTTTAGTTGTCTCGAGCACTGGAAATTCGTATTCTATGAATGAGTCAAGAGTTCCCATATATGACAGCAACTGTGCTTAAAAACGTTGTATTAGCATTCATCTCATTAGTGGGTCGCCTAAAAAGTCTGAAAATTTTTCTCAAGCTATAATTTCAAGTAGTCTATCATATGGTAGCATCAACCAAGAAAATATCATTGTCTGAATTTCGTAGTGTTCTGAAGGGCCTACTTGTTGGTTAAAAGTTAGTCAATGAGATTTTCAGTTTAACACTACCATTTGGTAGAGCACTTGAAAGTATAGTTTGAGAAAAATTTGCAGACTTGTTTGGTGATCCACTAATGAGATGAACACTAATACAACGTTTATAATCACAGTCGTTGCCATATACGGGAAGTCTTGACTGATTCATACAATACGAGTTTTCGGTGTGTGAGCCAACCAAAAAGTAGAATTCATCTTGTGAATATTGTAGTTATTTATGTCCTGAACTAAACTGATAATCCACCATTACAAACTGTTGGTACACAGTTCAAATGATTGGTTTGCGTCCAATATAGTATCATGTATATTATTCTTTCTCTGCTATAAATAACATTGTCAAGGAACGTCAATATCGGGTGTCACATAATAAAGGCACACTTTGTTTTACCTGTATCTCAGCACCGATAAACGATATAACCTTGATGTTTTCTCCAAAAGATGCACCGTCAAAGTCTTTACAAAACCTGATAAAAGAGATTTCTTCGATTGGCTTGAATAACTTTTCAGATCGCTAAAAGTGAAAACCTACGTGAAATTGCTATTTCCCACTGTCTTTTCGGTAACAAAAGTTATTTCAGCATTTTCAACAGCTGTGTCGTTATGTCATAAAGCTTTCATAACAAAATGATATTTTTTTCAAAAAAGCTATTATAGATTACTAAGGCTATGAAGAATACTCATGGAAAATTATCTTGTCGTTACACTTTTCAACTGAATAAACTCTTCAAAGAAAATCGTTGATGACTTGCCGTACTTATAGATTCAGTTTTCGATGCTAAACATGAATTTTATATAAAAACTTCATTTTCAACAGTTCTTCAGGCACCATTTTCAGCGCAGTTAGATGATATCAAGCTGAAGGTAATAATAAATTGAGATCTCTTTTAAAATAAATACGACAAAGTTAGCATTTGGGTAATTGTTTAGTTTTAGAAATAATTGTGTATGGTTCAGTAAGTATAGAGGCGGCTTTCTAGAAAGCCTCATTCATCTTGATTGGCGTTGTCATACAAAGGGCTGAGACCTAGCATGTCGTGAGACATACTATAAGCCATTCGTTTCGACACAGAATGATTGCGGATACCATGTATCTCTTAGCATTTGGAAGAGTAAAGCTTGGCACATCTAACTGCCCGTTTTAACATAACAAATTTGAATCGAAGAAAAAGAGCAAATGATCAAAAATGAATGATGAGACACTTTGAGATATCTCACTTGTAGTACATATAAATATCTCAGCATTCTTTGGTGATTAGCACAATGAATCAAACAAGTGCAACAAAGATATGCAGAAATGTGTGGGCTTCCATTCTAGCAGCGCCACATAATTTCCTAAGAGGATGGCAACTTTTTAGCGTGTGAATGTGGATGTTAGTGTAGGTATCAGTCTTTTATTCTCTCTTGTACCAAAATGACACAGCCACAATCACGCTCACGTTCATATCCTCTTTTTATTTATTATTAACAGTTGATAAATCAAGTAGCTCGTAACAATATGGTAAAGAGCATTTAAATATTTGATGAGATTCTTTCAGAGAATATTCTACTTTTTACAAATCTTTGAACAAAAGACAAAATGATGCTTATGCTTTTTCCAGGCATTTTATTAGGGACTAAAGCATTATCATTTCTTCCATTTTCTAAAATACTTTTAATAGTTTTACATTGTAAGAGTAATTCATCTGTAAGAAAAAAACTCTTTTCGGTTTTTGAAATATTCTCAAATGACTCGATAGATTTTTCATAATGAAATAAGTGTAAATATCCATCTGAGTTCGGATAAGATAGTTCAGTAATGAATGTTAATCGTTTTCACAGGCGAGATATTCATCTGTAGTAGTTAAACTAATTTTCCCTGTTAGAGTTAAGAGCATTGTATGATACAGTTTATTTTCAAAAATTTCAAAATTTAGACTAAGTTTTTCTTGAAAAGACAATAATTTTTGTTTTAGCAAGATTATTTCTCATTTATTCAATGGTATTAATACACATTTCTATGTCGCTTTGACTTTCTTGTTCGTTTATCAGACTAATTTTTTCCAATATTTTTTCTTTGCTTAAAAATTCTTGTTTATAAAAATTTTCTCTTTAAAATTTTCAATGATGATTATAAGAAGCCCATTGATAAGTCCTTACATTAAAATAGACGTGTAATAAACTATCTTCTGGCATCAATCGTCGTTTTGGACACTCAATAAGATAGAGCTTATACATATGTTTATCCACGACTCCAGTAAACCAATTGATTTTTTTTCAAAATTAAAAATTCATAATTATTTTTATAAGGATTTTTACTTCGAACAAGTAAACTAACATAATGTTTATTTCATAGTTTTACTGCATAAGAAAAATTATTACTAAGATTAGATTGAATTCGATCTTTTAAATAATTTCCATTGTTAATTTTTCTAAAATCATAAATTCTAATTTCTGTTTTTAATAAAAGCTGTTTTTTTGATAATCAATTTTTGATATTGATTTTATAAAATAATCTTGAAACGGTGAGAAACTTTTCGATGAATTTTCATTATCTATTTGAACTATTTTCGATGAATGATTCAATATTTGAGTCTGTTCATTTGAAAGATTTTTTATATTTTCATTTTTTCAAATCAATTGATAAAATTTCTTTTAAATAAATCTCAAGAACGTTTAAATCTTTCTTTTGATCAATAAAAACCCTCTGATCCTCTACCGTAGAATATTTTTCCATAAAAATACCATCTATTTAAATTCATTTCAGTAGTAATTTTCTGTTTTTAACTTTTATTTTCTTGNTTCCAAGTGCTTATTCCTTAAATTTTTATTATTATTATTATAGATTACACATTGGCAATCTCCTTATATGCATGCCTATTTTCCAGCTTTGAACTCCTATCCATCTTTACTTGGAGTATGATACAAATAGTTTTTTAAATGATTAATTCAGTTTGATATTTAGGATATGTTAGCAAATGGTTTAAATCAATTAGGATTTACATGGGTATGTACAAAAAAAAAAGGAAAGTACAATAAAAATTCATATTGTGTATATTATTTGAGAAAGATCAATATTTTGTATTACAGATTAAAGAATAGTGGATGATTGGAAAGTTTTTTGGACAAGATATTTGATCAGTTTTGACTTGTTAGAAAGTATTAAAAACTATGAATTAGGATGAGAATTTTATGTTCTTTTTGAATATGGGCTTAGAAATGTTATGTCTAGTTTTTGTTTAAGAGTAATGAAGGACTTTTTGAAATATCTAACAAATTATGTTTAATAGTCAGCCAACAGATTTTTGTTTACTTTACAAGTTCCTTTTTGAACATGCTAAAAGTTGTCGAAGCCAGAAGCATTTTTCAAGAGTTCCTTTCAATGTAAAAAGGTTATCGATTTTTCAAAAATGAGTATTTACGAGAAAACGAAAAGTTTGATGCTTTGTCGACAGACAAAAAACTCTTCAAATTTTATAGGATGATCTTTTATCTGTAAGCTGATATATATAAATGATTAGAAGATCTCAATTATTAGTTTCGAATTGCAATAGTGATAATACAAAAATATGCAGGAAAAATCTCCGTCTAAACTAATTTTTTTATCTCATTAAAGGTTATTTTAGTACTATCGAACAAATAATGAGGCAAAATTTCTAAATGCATATTCAAGAAGATCACAAAATTCTCTTCTTAACTCATAGCTTTTGATACTTTCGAACAGCTTCATAGTGAACAAACATCTATTTTTATATGTCATTTGTTAGATACATTTGTTCATAGGGGTTATCAGTAAAAAAAAACAATTGTTTGTAATGTGACACAAAAAAGAGCGTTGACTTTTACTTTATGTATTTTAGTTTAAAAAACTCCGCAATTGACGCAGAAGTTTGGAAAAATAAATAATACATTTTGTAAACAACTCCTGAGGCTAAAAACCTTCTATTTGAAACTTTTTCTAAGCATGCGTGAAGTAGAGTATGTGAAGTTCTTTAGAATCTCTTGATTATGTTAAGGTAAACTATAAAAGTAACAAAAGCCTAAAGAAACAGTAATATAAAACTTGAACCTTGCATTCAACTGAGATTTCAAGTTTCAAGTTCCTAATTTCCATTTTCAAGTGTCAATTTTCCATTGTTGATTTTCAAGTTTCAGATTTCAATTTTCAAATTTCAAGTTTCACATTTCAAGTTCAAATGATTTCATTACAACCACATAAAAAGACACACCCTGTAGCTTTTTTCTTGGTATTCACATCGAGAGAGACTTGGTGTGATTTCTTTTTTGTGGTTGAAACTCGAAAGTTGAAACTTGAAATGTCAATTGAATTCAAGTTTCAAGTTTAACATATATGTGCATTTACTATAACCTTGAATTAAAAAGTTATCAGCAACACAAAAAATTTAAAAAAAAACAAAGGTTCTTTTTTTAGCAATTCTATGATAAATTTCCCTTTTGTAATGTTTATAAGTTAACTAATAGAGGAATCATTGAATGGTCCTATTTTTATGCAAGAAAATGTTTTTTTTTTTTTTTTTGTATAATTAATATAGGCATCAAGTCCAGCATGTACAGAATTAGAGACTGTTGTGATGGATTGGTTAGCAAAAATGATTGGTTTACCTAATGATTTTCTTCATTCACATGCTGATACGACTGGTGGTGGTGTGATTCAAGTAACTTGAAAAAAAAAATTTTCTTTTATAGGTTATATAAATTTAATTATTATAGACAACAGCATCTGAGGCAACACTTGTAGCATTACTTGCTGCTCGCAAAGAAGTTATTCGTCGTATTCAAACTCAATTTCCTTATTTAAGTCCAGCTGAAATTAATGGACGTCTTATTGCTTATTGTTCTGATCAGGCTCATTCGTCAGTAGAAAAAGCATGTCTTATTGGTTTAGTTAAACTTAATCTTGTACCAAGTGATGATAAATTACGTTTACGTGGTGATGCATTAAGACAAGCTATAGCAAATGATAAAGAAAATGGTCTTATTCCATTTTATGTAAGTAAAATAAATTAATTAAAATATTTTCTTTTAAAATGTTAACTTTCCTTTTTTTTATTTTGTTTAAAGCTTTGTGCAACTTTAGGTACAACTGGAGCTTGTGCTTTTGATAATCTTCTTGAACTTGGTGCAATATGTAAGTTTTTATTGAGATTGTTTGTAAATATATAGAAATGCAAAAATTTGACTAGGTGAACGAGAAAATATTTGGATACATGTTGATGCAGCTTATGCTGGAAGTGCTTTTATATGTCCGGAATTTCGACATTTTATGAATGGAGTAGAATATACGCATTCATTTGCATTTAATCCATCTAAATGGATGATGGTTAATTATTTTTTCCTTTTCCTTTTCAATATTAATTATATTTATTTTAATATATTTAGGTACATTTCGATTGTACTGCAATGTGGTAAGATAAAAAAATTAGAAATAAATCTTATATCTTTAGTTTTTCTTTTAGGGTAAAATCAAGTGCAGCACTTCATCGAGCATTTAATGTTGATCCATTATATCTTCAACATGAAAATGCAGGTGTAGCAATTGATTATATGGTAATATTAATAAAATAATTTTCTTCATATTAATTTATACATAATCTTTTATCTGTGAAACACAATCTGAAAGGAGTGTCAGAGTATACAGAATAGTAATTTGTACTCTCCACAGAACTTAGCGAACGCTATGTTTCCCCTCCCCTGCTGCGTCACAGACAGAATAAGTATATCTCCATATATTTAGAAGGACACATGATTCTTTTAAATTTAGAATCACTCTATGCTCTACTCAATACTGCGTCATTATCTTCCAAATGTCAATTTAATCTGAAAAAGTTAAATTCCATTAAAAACATTTTTTCTTCATAAAAAATCACTGTGAGAGACTCTTACTCTATAGAATGAATTATACATTGTTCGATGTAGTTTTTGATGCTGATTACAAATATGAAGTTAGTCTTCAATAAAAGTGTTTCTACAATAAGAAACATGAATTTTATCTTGAATTTTGAGGGTTTTCTAGAATACCTATAGCTCAGCTCAGAAACGCTCTCACTAATGTCACATAGGTATTATGTGTGAAGAAATATTTTGTAGAAAACTGTACAAGTTCATTATACTGAACACAAACTAGAAAACGATATTCACTATGGAAGGCTTTATTGGGTTTTTTGTTCATAATAAAAATATTTCCTAATTCTTACTAGCGGCATTTTTCAACGAGACTTTCTCCGTACTTTGAGACTAATACTAACAAGAGAAACAAAGAATTTTATGTGATTAAATAACTCATTAGTCAGAATACATGTTGTAGAGATGTCTATTGCGGTGCGGCAGCAGCAAATTTCCAACTGCAATGAACGTCTCTGATATGTTGCTCTGTTTAAATCATTAAAAAGTATACTTTCAATTTTTCATCTAGAGTCCGACTGAGTGTTTACCGTGCCAGACTGTATATTAATAACATCTCATTATACTATATAAACTATTTTCTTATTGCATTTTTAAAGGTTAAGTGAGATGATGGTAAAGAAATGTCTATTCGAAAATAGAACGAATAAAATAATCTTCCTGTGATTAACAATCACAACTACATTGAGTTTCATATTTTAATCTTCACAGAATTGCACTAATAGCTTTGCTTTTTTTTTTTCTAGCATTGGCAAGTTCCTTTAAGTCGTCGATTTCGTGCATTGAAACTTTGGTTTGTTATTCGTTCATTTGGTGTTGAAGGTTTACAAAAACATATTCGAAATGTAAGAAATTATTCTTGTGTAAATAAATCTATTTATGGTCATTGAAATCAATATTTAAATTTGATTATGTGGCTTTATTTTTTTTTTTGTAGAGTGTTCGAATGGGAATTTTATTTGAATCGTTAGTCAAAAGTGATGATCATTTTGAATTACCAGCTGAACGACATCTTGGTTTAGTTGTTTTTCGATTAAAAGGTGACAATGAATTAACTGAACAATTATTAAAAGAAATTAATAGTGGTGGACAAATCCATTGTGTACCAGCATCAATTAAAGGCAAATATATCATACGTTTTACAGTTACAGCAACATCAACAAATGCTGATGATATCAATCGTGATTGGAAAATAATTCAAACAGCAGCTACTAAAATTCTACGTCCATTAGCAAATTTATCACCACAAGAACGACGTAATAAAATTAAAAATCTTCATAGTGATTTTCGTATGTCACTTGTTTTATCTAATACACCACATAGTCCATGTTTAATTAATGGAAGTTTTGCTGCTATGCTTCCACTTAATACCAATAATATATATGCCATGACACATGAATTAAGTCAACGTGGATTAAAAAATTCTCTTTTACCAATATCAACACGAAGACGAACAAAAAATTATTCTGGTCAACCAACAATTAATAAACAAATGAGTATGGATGGATGTTTGATAAATAGTGATCAACAAAAGTATTTATTACCAATAACACCATCATCATTACCAATAAGTCGACAAGGAAGTTTAGATTCACGTATTGAAGAAATTTTAGAAAATAATACTATGGATAATAAAGGTAGTAATGAACTTTTATCAATACCAACAAATACTCATACTGATATAAATATAATTGTACCAAAAATTATTAAAGAATGAAAGAAAAATAAATTGTACTTGTTATTTATTGTATTATCTTGATTTTAATTATATGAGATAAAGAAAAATTAATTTTATTTAGTTTTTCTTTGCAGAATAATAATAATAAATGTTTGTTTGTGTTTGTTAAGTGTCTATTTAAATAAATATTATTTTGATGAAAAACAAAAACAAAAAAAGCAAACATATAAAAGATTTAAAAATTTGTTTTCAACGATTCATTTATCTTCTTTTGTTTCATATGTTCAAAATTTTTAGCATGATGTTATCTTGCTTTTAATTAAGTTGATCTTAATATCTCGAACACATTATTTTTTACATGTATTTATTCATGAGAAAAGTATTCTTTTTTCTTATATTGAAAGAAAAATTTCCAGGACTGATTTAATCGCTTTTAATATTATCTTCTGCTTCATTTTTCAATTGCTGTCAAAATAAAACGACATTAACTAGCATTCAAACAGCCAATAGGAATCGTACTTTCTTTTCTTCTTGCATATTATAATATATTATTTAGCTAATAAGCGTGAAAACAAACATATAGAACGGTAAAAAAAGAGAAAAAGACGTATGATTTAATGAAGTATTTCAATGTCTATTGATTATTATCGAAATTTAATTATTTTTTCTTGTCATTTAAAAATCTTAATGTGATAATAAATTTTTTTTACATAAATAAATGATACTTTTTATTAAAAATTCCCATAAAATTAAATAGAAAATATATATACATTTCATATTCATCTTAATAATGGCATATGATTGTTATATTCTTCAATATTTTCATGTACCCATTTAACTTCAGGATCATTTGATTTTGCTGCTGTTGCTATTACACTAATAAGCATTAAAGAAAACATAAATCCAACAATACAATAAAATATAATAGCTAATGTTAAAGCTAATCTTCTTAATCTTTGTACTAGAACAGTACGTTTACGTCTTAAATTTAAAACTTGATTAACTTCATTTAAAAAATCCCAAAAAACTGTTCCATGTTGTACTTCTTGTTTACTAAAATAATAAAGTAAATTTTGTAATGCTAATGGTTCTTCACCAAGACGATCATAAATAAGTGCATCATTCGGTCCAACATGTCTTGTATCAAATACTTTTCTTCTACCACTATGACCAGATAAAGAAAATTCTTTAAGTATATGAAAATCTTTTTCTTTATCAATATTTTTTATTTCATCTTGTGCACGTTTTAATTCACGCGTCATTTGAAAACCTAAATACAAATTTGGTAATTGATCTTCTTTTCCAAGATTATTTAAACCCATAAAACGAATACGATGTAAATTACGACGTACAATTAACCAACGAGAATCTGGTTGAAGAGAATCTGCTGTTAATGGTGCTTGGTAATCATCGCCAGCCAAAACATCACTTTGTTTTCGAAGAGCAGTTGATGCATGAAATGGTGAAGAAGATTTTGTTTTACCATGTTTATCGAGTGGATTATCGATTATATGTATTTCATGTTCTTGTTTTCGGATACACAGAAGACGTATACGATGAGACTGAGCCATTTACCTATATTTCTAAAGGTTAATAAATACATATAGTGTATTTATACAAATAAAATCAGAATAAAATTTAAATAGTATATATATATATATGTGATCAAGGTAGATTCGAAGGTTTTATTGAACTATGTGTAGTTGTGACATAGGATAGAGTATAGTATACATACGATTTTATCGAATTTTTACGTATAGATGAAAATTATGTTTCTTTTTGTTAGATATTGCTTATCTCTGATTTATTTCAATTAAATAATAATGCAATACAAACAATAGGATCTATCGTGATAAATTGAATGGCTACATAAATATTTGCCACTCACTATCAAACTAGTCAATAATTGATTGATGCGAGTATCATAACTAAGTTAAAGTGATGTCCTATCAATTTACCTGTATTATTGAAAATCCTATTTATCTGTAGACTATAATGAATGACAAGGCTTACACTTATGTATATGGGCGTGAAAGAAAAAAAATACAACTGACAGGTTATTAGATATGATACCAAAGCGCGTCTGCAGACTCAAGGTAGACATAGTATCCTTTATTACATATATCAAGCAAATAAATATTTCGTGTATCGAATCATTACTATGCATTAAACAAGAACAGAACAAAAATTGAGAGAGAAAAAAAGAAAGAAATATTACTCGAGAATGAATAAATAGCTAACATAAATTATATGTAAAACCCAGGGAATATATTNGAATTAGAATTAAATGACACAAGATGGTAGAAAGGAAAGTAAACCTATAAGATTGATTTACAGCATGTCTTCGTTTTGTTTTATCTTTGTCTTTTTTTCTTGTTTTTATTTCAAAATTGAACACTGAGTAAATTTTGAACGGATGTTCTATATTAGATCAAAAATAATTATATTCTACGCGCTATTTAGGATGTTCATAGATGTAGATGTAGGTATTGTTGAAGAGAAGATCCGTACTCACACCTTGATAAAAGAAAACAAAAAGAAAGAATCATAGTTTTCTGTATTCAATAAAATGAATATGAGTTTCGAAAATACTCCTTCATATAATATAAGAAACCTATGGTATATGAACATGTGCAGTTTATGTGGTAAAACAAGTAATCAAACTCAATCGATTCTTGAAGTTTAATAATACTTAAAGACGAATTTTTTTTTCATGGAATATTATATTCAAAAGTTTATAATAATATTGTATTATCGTGCACCATTTGTTCATATGCATTCTTTATGACTTCTTGGTCACTGAATTGTATAGAATGATCAGCTAATATTTGAGTTGTTTCATGTCCTTTGCCAGTAGTTAATATTATATCGTTTCTACTTTTAGCTAAACCTAGAGCTAAATGTATAGCCGTTTCTCTATCCAATTCAATGTACAATCGACTGCTATCCACTTTTTGCTTGACTCCAGATAGAATATCTTCAACTATCGATTGAGTATTCTCTTGACCAGAATTGTCTGATGTTATTATCATAATATCATCATTTTCTTCGACTATCCGTTCCATTTATGGTGTTTTCGACCGATCGGTATTTTCCCGATAGTCAAACACAATAATCAACTTGCCATTTTCACCTAGTTCTTAAAAATAATTGTCGTTCGTTCTTCATTATCTTTTCAAATGCATCTGGTGTATGTGCATAGTCAATTACAACTAAAAATAGTTTACGACGTATAATAAATTCAAAGCGACCTTTAACTGATTCAAATGTTTCTAATAATTGAAAAATTTAATCTAATGACCTGATGGTATTGAAACTGTATAATTTATACCATTTAGAGAATTTTTAATATCAGAAGCTAGAAATGAGTTTTGATTTTTCTTTAATAGACCATTTGTATAAATTTGAGTATTTGATGGACATGCATTGATAAATTGTTTATATGATGGGTCATCATGATTTATGATAGCTTTTGGTGATGAAGATCTTGATAAATATTTTGAAAATAATAATAACTTTGAATGTAAATAATTATCCATTGCCTTGTGAAAATTGAGATGATCTTGCGTAAAATTTGTAAGCATGTCGACATTAAAAATCACATCCAACAATACGATCTAATGTCAGTGAATGAGAGATAACTTCCATTACAATATTTTCTATATGATATTTATTTGTTATATCACTCACTAGTGTTTATAACATCCATGCATTTGGTGTTGTATATATAGTCTGTAGAAATGTAGTTATTTATGCTACACTCATGATCATGATATCTATAACCAAGTATACCTATTTAACCGACTGTCAATTTAGCATCTGATAAAACTTTCTCAATCATATGTGTTACTGTTGTTTTACCATTTGTACCCGTTACACCAATCAGTTGGTGAATGAAACATTGAAGATAATTGTAATAATGATGACATAATTGGCCAAATATAATATTTGTCGTTTTTATTTTTGAAACATTAAATACAGAAAATATTGCTGATTGTAATAAACTTATTAATGGATAGTCATTAACAACTAAAGTAGATAATGAGTTATTCAACAAAATACTTATAGTAGAATGATCTAGTATTATTTCAGTCCCATTTGTTTCATCAATAGTTCGCATAACAAGCATAAAACTATTATCATATTTTTTGCTTGTTTATGAAAGACGTTTCAGGGATTGTGTAATTAAACTGATACAATGTTCATAATATCTTTATAAATTTATGAAGATTAATGCATATCAAATCATCAATTAGTTGTTTCAATTGCATCGTAACTTACAAGTAATGATTATTGAATATCGATTTACCTGTTCCTAAGCTTGAAAGTTTTAATATATAATCTTGAAAGTAAACATAGCAAAACAATCAAAAGAAGACTTTGTTAGATACAAAACGATTCTAGACGTAAAGGTGTTTCTATAATTAACATGATGAGCTTGATTGTGTTTTATATGATGTTCCCGCAAATTATGGAAAAAAAAATGACAAGACTCGAATTCATATATCGAATACACCGGAGCTATTGTTGGATTGTTTTAAAAATGTCAACCACCATATGCAACACTCTTCAAGCTATATTTTGCTGTAATTCGAGCATAGGATGCTAAGAAAAGTTGTATAATTGGACAACAAAAAAAATGTTCACCTAGAAATATCCTTGAAAAACTTCTTCGAACTTAATGAATACTACGCAGATAGACGTTCCCAACGTTGCTCCATTTAATAATGAAAACCTAACTTTGATAGCTTTAAACGATCGACAGTTATTCAAAAAATTATGATTCGTATTTTAGAATATTCGACAATACTTTCATTGTAGACGAGATTGCTTGTTAGTATGTTGTAGTCTGCAATGCGTTCACCAGCACAAAATCTCAACATCTCTGTCGTTGTCTGTAACATCAGTCAAATGACTGTGTCGTAAAGAAATAACTCGATATTGCACCCGAAGACTTCTTCGATAGTGATCACAATATGTTAAAGAATCGAAGCAGCAGCAGTATATAGAAATATCTGTCATGTTGTGTGTCAGATAACACAATACTATTCGGTAAAATAAATTGTATGCATTTTATTTGAGGTATGAGTGAGAGAGTAAAGGGTAGCGGTAAAGAACCATCAGTTAACTATGGTTAACCGTCGACTAGCCGTGTTTACTGTCGGTTAACAGTTGGTCTTTTGCCGATCCAAAGGACGTGGGATGTTTCTCTGCTATTCCAGGCTCAAAACTGGTCAAAAATAGAACGCGAGTGAAGTATTGATGAGATGTGCATAGCTACTACAACACTTAGTATTGGAATTTTTCTAGATCTTATCAAGTGGCACAGGATATTAGTGTAAAGCATTCAAAATAAAGAATTGACACACATCACAAAAAATAAGAGAAGAAATACAAAGCATCAAACGACGTGTTTTGATGGTTGCTGATACATACGAAATATGGAATCGTTTAATAAAAGTGTAATATATGAGTAATAGAATTAGATTGAAATTTTTTTGTGTAATTAATAACTCAGATGTAGATATAGTATGTTTTTTAGTTCTTGTATTCGATGAACGTATGAATAATTGATCTAGAAGATAAGAATAGTAGATAAAATGAAGGAAATAATTCGAAACTAAATTGTTATTTATTATAATGAAGAGGTTTTCAAATGGAATTAATTGTTAGAAGTATCAATCAAACTTCAAGGAGTTTTTAATTTTTGTTAAGATTGATATGTGATCGGACATTTGTAGCTGTTGATTACAGTTCAGATTAATGCTTTATGCTTCGAATGATTTTTTAATTCAGTAATATTTATTAACACATTATGAGTTTATTTTCTTTCTTTTTTTTCTTAAAAAGCATATTCACTTCATCGAATAAGTATTGATATGAAGAGGAATTGATGTTTTTATTAAAGAATATCGTCAGATAAAATCATAAATCTGTCATCCCTTGATAACTCAGTTTCAATAGAATACGAAAATAGGATATGAAATTCTGCGAATTTCTGTCGATTTTTTGAGTGTTTTGTTGAAGTCCATAAAAAAATTCGTAGACTAAATAGGATTAAGGTCTATCACTTTGGAACGTTTCGAATAATAACTATGGCACCTGTCCTTTTTCTATTATAAAATCAATATGAAACCTCATAAGGTAGATCAACGTAGGTTTTTATTCTCTCGAAAATGACATATCGATCATTTACATCGATTAGTTTATTTTGTGGCAGACAAATACGATTGGTACGATTCTCATATTACATACGTAGATGAGTTTTCATACTTTTATGGACTATTGCTATTGCATTTAAAAACCAAATTAGTACGAAAAATCTTTTTGATCAACAACTGCGCTATCTCACGTTCTATAAGCCTGTAAAGTTTGGGGAAAGCGTCTATTATGTTCGAAGGCATCTTTTTTATTGAAACATTGTAAGAACATGACCATTTTAGGAGTTCTATAAAAAGTTAATATCGGTCATTTTCCTATTGAATGCTAATCTAACACAAAATAATACATCGTATCACAAGCAGTTTAACAAAAATATTTTTTATAGAAAAACTTGATGAAGTTCCCACAGCAAATTTTTTCTCAAATTTCATCCGCAATTCTCCTGGGTGCATTTGTCGTAAAAAAATGATTGTTACTAATATCTATATATGATGCAGCGTTTTTCCTGTGTTGACTCTGAATATGATATTCATTTTGGTCTGCAGTTGAAATTAGATCAAGATTCAATAGGAAAACAGTCGACATTGACTTTTAGAGTACTCCCGAAATAATCAAGATTGTTAGAACCTGACACGGTGCCCTTTTTGATCATACAAATCTATTATACCCGTAAGATCCTACATACTCTAAGACAAAAGTTAATAATCAATATGATCAATATGTGAATTAGTAAGGCTTGAAAACCTACGTCGGCCTACATTACCAGTTTTCATATTGGGCTAATTATAGCAAAATACGATATCATAGTTATTATCGAAACATGCCAAAGTGATAGACCCTTCTAAGACTATTTAGCCCACGAGCATTGCTTTTGACTTCAACAGAAAACAAGATAAATACATAGAAATGCACAGAGTTTCATGTTCTATCCTCCTACTCTATTGAAAGTGATATGTAACTGAGTGGTAGATTTATAATATTATTCAGTGGTGTTTGTTTTTGAGTTTAAATAGTTCACGGCCTTTTTTCCTTCCAAAACCAATTTTTTTAATGTTTTGGCATTAAAAACTTAACTTCAAAATTTACATTCTTCTTTGTTATGTATTTACATCATATTTTTCGTTTCTTTTATAATGCTTCGATACGAATAATTCTCAAACCTACATACATTCATGATGTGTGTTTTCAAACTATTTTCAAGGAGTCCAAAAATTATTGAGCCAATTTCGCAAGAGAAATCTTTCTCTAAATCATGATTATAAAATCGAAATAAGAATTGAAAAGAATGATTAGTATGAGTATAAATATAAACTTTGAATGGTATGTGAACATACTTCGGTATATAAAGATTGTAAAACAATGAAGTGACCTGCTCTGGTACACTCGGTCGTATTCAAAAACAGTAGGTTGTAATATCGAATTCTGAAACGATATGAATACAAATTTCATATTTGAATAAAGCACATTCAGCAGCACTAAAAAATATCAAAGAATCAAAACTAGAAAGTAGTTCAGTTAGTCTAGAGTAGTTAGAGGAGCAATCATCATAAGCAGTCATGAATATGAAAAAAGCACCAAATAAAAACTACCAGCCTAAATTGAACAATTGCTTTTTTCATGAGACGATTATTGATACGGTGAAGGGTAAATTAGCCATACTGAACATGTATAATGCGTATGAGGTAAAACAATGTTGTCGGTAAGTTTTGGTCGGTATTTTTTATTGGGCACCTTTTTCGTGCTTGTATATTTTTATGATGATTATTCTTCTAATCCCTGTAAACAAACAGAAATGCTTTTTAGCTTTGGTTTTTTTGATGATTTCTAATGTTATTGAATGTGCTCTATTCGAATATGAAATTTTTATTCATATTGTTTCAAAATTCGGTATTATAACCGACTGTTTTTGAATACGACCGAGTATACAAGAGCAGGTCACTTCATTGCTTTTCAATTTCTCTGTACAGAAGTATGTTCACATACCATTCAAATTTTATATTTATATTCTTATTAATCATTCTTTTCAGTTCTTATTTCGATTTTTAACTGAGAACCTAACTTAACTCTGGACAAGTACTTTCCCTTGTTCGATAATATGGAAGATTCTAGTCCAATAATTTTTGGGCCGCAAAAATCATGACACTTCTACTATTTCTCAAATAAAATAGGAAAGACAGAAAGGAAAAAACTGAAAATAACAGCACATACACTTCTAGCAGAAAGCTACATTATGATCTATATTCGAGCTCTCTGACACATTTAATTAGAACATATTAAAAATAAAATAAAATGAGGATATAGGAGTGGGCCAATCATTTTTGGGCCTCTTATGTCCTTAATTTCTTGTCACTTAATCAATCTTTGTCGATTGATACACACACACACATATATATATATATATATATAAATGAAACAAATTCAGTTTGGTTTATTCATCGAATGGATTGATTGAAATGTTTTCGAACCACGCCATTTCATATCTTCATCAGGAGCATTTTTATACATTTGTCTTAAATTTGCTGTTGTCGTTAATACACTTAATATCATTGAAAAAAACATAATAAGAATAATAATAAAAACAACTAATGTTATAATTAATGCAAGTTTTCGATAAACAACAACTCGATTCATACGTTGTCGATTTGCAGCTAATACGGAATTAACATCCGATAAAAATGGATAAAATATACTATCATATGGTACCTTGCATTCTTTACTGAAGTAATAAAGTAAATATTCTAAAACAATTGGTTCTGAACCAAGACCAGCATAATAAATACCATCGGTTGGTCGAACATGTGAGACATTATAACGTCGAGTATGTGTTTCATCAATAGGTAACTTAAAATGACGAACAGGTGTAAAATCGGTTCGATTTTGAATAGCACGAATTTGTTCTTCAGCACGTTTTAATTCACGTCTCATTTGAAAAAAAAGATACCAATCTCGAATTGGTTCATCAACAATTGACATACGTTTCATATTACCTAAATAACGAATTCTATGCATATTATTACGAACTGTAACCCATTTTGATTGTGGAGATAATGAACGATATGTACGTGGTGCTTGATAATCATAATCTGAAAGTAATGGTGTTGTTGTCGATGTTTTTGTTAAAGACGGAGATGAATCTATAACCACATGTGATTCTCTTTCACGCTGAGGGATTTTACGGAAGATCAGTTTTGAATGAGTTGGCATTTTAAACTAAACTAAAACAATAAAAAATCTTCTGCAAAATTTCTTACAATAGTTTTTCTTCTTAATAAATAACCTAAATGTCTTCATACATATGAGTATTTAGATAAAAAACAATATTAATCCGTGATATTTTAATGATCCGAAAAATAGTAACATAATGTATTAAGATTTTCTTTTTGTGCTGCAGGTTTCTTTCTTTCTCTCGTTTTATTTCTTTTTTCGAAGTATCACAAAAAAAAATCTATATAATTTAAACCGAGAAAAAACCTACGGAGTTCAATATGAAATTATACGATTTCGAAACGATAAGATAGTTCTTTAATTAACATTTGTACAAACAAGCATATAATTTTAGATGTAGAAATTTCTTTTTCATGATATTTTTATCATATCATAAGTTACATACGTTGTTATGAATGAATGATTTAATGATACATTAACTATTAATCGATTGCATAATGATAATTTATATTTGATATGCAATATGAGTCGACATTATTCGTAAGCAAATATGACTTAAGTATTACATTATAACATTGTTAAAATATGCTGTCATTTTTAAATCCTACTTGTCTATCATTACATTTTCAAGTACTAATTGAATCAAAATTTACTTAACGAATATTAAATCAATGATTCTTAAAATGAACAATATCACATGAAAAGTAAACACACTGTGTCGAATAGAACATGTTACTCTACTTCTAGCAAAATTATAGTTCTTTTTTTCTCAGAAAAATAACTTTAAAAAAAATTTAATTAGTTTAAATTAAATATTGATTAATTGCTCGCTGTTAGAGACATTTCGAAATATATTTTGTAGAGATATTCAGTTCGATTATTCGCTGAGTATCTAGAATAAAACAACATTTATTTACTATGAGATTAACATGTATATATATATGCTTTACAATGATGTCAATATTTATCATCGGATAAGAAAATTGTAATTTAATTCCACTATAAAACGTTAATTGATTGATTTTTATTTTTATGTATTCAAATTCATTCTTATTCTACTGACCTTTTTAGAAGGTTTTGTTTTTGTATACAGTGCAGAAAAAAAAATCCCACAATACAATTACTATTTATCATTGATAAACAACCTTTTTTTCTCCCATTAGTCTTTTCTTAGATGTAAAAGAAAGAGTAAGCTTAAATAGTACAACATACTTCACAAAAGGTATACTACTGTTTCATTATAATAAGAATAAAAATGTGTTGCCTAAAGGCTTCTTTCTATTTTATTTTAGAAAAGTAAATTTTGTTGATAAAAAAAAAGCACTTTTTATTTTCATTAAATAGACATCGACATACCTGCTTGCGTCAATAAGCATACTTTGCCAATATAACAGAACAAAGCCAGTATTTTTCTTTTTTAGTTGACGAGAAGAAAAAAAAAATTGTCGCTTCTCTTGTCATCACATAGAGAAAAAAAAAATATTTCTCCATTGATGTATATGTACACTATTATATGATATGCGTGTGTGATATTTCTCTTTAAATAATCCAATAGGAAAGTTAAGTTAATAACAGAACATTTTTTTCTCTAACTATATTTAGATTTATTATTTCTTTATCTATTGTTTGAATATTGTCATTGATCAATAATCGAATCAAAAAATGTCACATTGATAGTACAAAAAAGACACGACTATTATGACGTCAACGTTAATTTAGTATTACATAAAAGTAAATGAAAAAAAAACGAAGGTGTGATGTACAAAAATCTAAGTAAATTTTGATAGATTTAGGTAAATAAAAAGAACCTTAGGAAATTAGGAAGTTTTTTATTTTTTTTATATTATGAAATTCTGTTATTACACAATAGTCTGATTCATAATTATTGTATATAAAAAAAAAGAAAACGAAAACAACTCTTTTTTTGCTTTGACAAATATTAAACAACGTAAATAATATGAAGAACGCAGTAGTTATTTTAGGTGGTGCTTTCAATCCAGTACATACACAACATATAGCTTTGCTTTGTCTTGCCAAACAAGAACTTGAAGTTAATGGTCAATGGAATATCATAGGTGGTTATTTAGCTGTTGCAACGGATGGTTATGTATGTCATAAATTACATTCACGAAATGAACGTACAATTAAATTAAAACATCGTCTAGCACTTGCTCATGAAGCAATCAAAGATATACCATGGCTAATAAATAGTCCATTTCAAGAGGAAATGTTAAAAAAACATGATGGTTCAGCATTTTCACTTGGTCAGCGTTTAAAAAGTCTATTGAAAAACGATAATATTCAAATTTTAATTCTTGTCGGTGGTGATCGAATGATAAAAAAAGGCGTTCCAATTTGGCGAAAATCATCGAATAAAACACCTATTATTCGTGTTGGTATTGAACGAACAATGAATAATAATGATAATAATTTATTTGAACTTTGGCAAAAAGATCTGAATGAAAATCTTATTCCTAATCCAGAAGAATTTATTCTATTAAATACACCCATACGATCTGTTAGTTCATCACTTGTTCGAGTTTATCTTAATCAATGGTTTAATGCAAAAGAAGATTCACAAAAACAATTCGAAATAGAGAATGATTTAATAAATATAAATTCTTTTCTTCACTCATCTGTTATAAATTATATAAAAAAATATCAAGATGATTTATATATCGATATTTAAATTTCCATTCTCTCTCACATATATATATATATATATCCATATATAATAAATCAAAAAACAAAAAAAATAATAAAAATGTACATCAAAAAGAAAAAAAAAAGAAAATTATTAAGACTCTACACCCTCAGCTTGATTAAGATTTTTATTCAATGATTTTGTAGCAATTTCACTCCTAAAATAGCAAAAAGAAAAGATAGAATAGAAATAAATGATGTGTTAACATACATCATATCAATAACCCAATCACGAAAAAATGGTAATAATTGATCATCCATTGCTGGAAGAACAAGAAGACGCTGACAAAAAAAAGAAAGAAATTATTTCGTTTTGACATTCTAAAAATCATACTTTGATTTCATCTCGAATTTGTGATTCAAGAAAGTCATGAATTAATGTATATGAGTATTTACTTTCACCAAATACCGGAGTTACTTTAAGATTTAAATCAGGCATTTCAGAAAAACCAATCCTATTGAAAATATTCTTAATAAAATTAAAATAATATGTTAATTTATTTGTCTTACCATATACGATCACTTGGTGGTGGTGGAATGTTAATCTTTAGAAGAAAATATAAAAAAAAAAGAAAAGATGAACTGCAATTTATGTAAAAGTCAATTTACTGTCATAATGCCATTAAAATTCATTAATTCAATATTTGCACCAACATCAGCATTCGATAATTTTTCTATAACACCAGCAACAGGTTTCAAAGCAGCAAACCGTTGAAAATGTTTATTTCCAGCTACTTTTGTTAATATTATACCTAATTTTCGTGCAGCCGCACTAGATATATATATATATCTATAGATATAGAAATGAAAGGTAATATAAATAATTACTTTTCAGGTATTTCAGGATCTTTAGCTAAGAATTTTTGTCGTTGAACAGTATTCTCATCATTGTCTGTACGTTCATCATCTTTATATACAATTTGGCCTGAACGATGTTGATAATGCATTGATGGATCACTAGTTACATTTGTATTAAGCAATCTTTGAAGAACTATACGAGTTCGGATTGTAATTCTAAAAGAAGAAAAAAAGAAGCAATTGAGATTTTAATAGTTTTATTAGAAAGAATATAAGATGATGAAAAAAACTTTAATAACAAGGTTTTTTTTTTTTTTCTATAATGTTAAACAATCAGCTTAAAACTAAATAGTCATTTTAATAGCCAATGATGATTTTTAAAAAAGCCTGACACAGTATTTTTCAAGGCATAGAACACTATGTCAAAGCTATTTTTGTTATAATACCATTTTAAGAAGAATAAAATTTTCAACATAATAAAGACTCGTCACATTTTCTACGACCTTCTCTTAAAAAGTTGAAGTATCATAAAACCGAAAAAAACACGATATTTATCAAAAAATCACTAAAAAAGAACGTTCTTTTTTTTTTCGTTTTCAAATTTTAAGATAAAGTCTCATACGATCTGAACCCTATTGTGCTCAGGTTTTTAGAAAACTTCATTGACTATTTAAGCGGCTATCTGATTTTGAGCTAATTGGTTAACATTTATAGAAAAGCAATAATAAGTACGTTGATATTGAAGTTTTTTCCATCACCCTACATTTTCCGATGTAGAAATTAGACTTTTTTTAGAGAAATACTACGAAATATTTATAAAAATCGTTGTTATACTACACATTAATGTATTTGTCAAATCATATTATAGACTTGTCCTTTAAAAAACTGAATTCTTTAGCTAAATGTTTTTTAAAACCATTACAGGTAAAAGATTAACTGATCAGAATGACTTTCCTTGTTTGTAGAAATAACGTACATCAGTAATAGACACGACAAGAACCGAAACCACAACCATCTTATCTATATCTAATCAGTAATTATCATGTCTAAGTTTTTTTTTTTTTTTTTTAAACACTCATAATAATATAAAAATTTTTGGAACGCATTTTGATTTTGATAATTAAACTTACTTGAAACTGCCTCGATAAAAAAGAAATAAATTAAGCCAAAGTCCTTTATTATTCCATTGCATTGGTTCAACTTTAAGAATAACAGGATATGTATTTCCCATATCAATTGTTTCAACATGTAAATCTTCAAGTACACTTACCTAAAGACATAAAAATAAATAAATTTTTTATAATAATAAATTCAATTAAAACTTACAGCAAGTTCTTTTAATTTAAGCTCAAGTTTTTCTTTTAATAAATCTTTAAATAATGGTTCTTGAAAAACATCACAAAAAAGTCGACGTACAAGAAAATTTAATGTTATAGCTGCTTCATTAAGACAATCAGATGAACTAAGTACACGATCAAGATTTTCTTGTTGTTTACGAAATTTTTTTTTTATTGATCCTGTACGTTGTGAACCAAAAGAATCTTTATCTGAATCTTTATCATTTTGTTTTTTATCTTTTTCTAATATATCTGCACGTAATTCTTGAGCACCAATACGAGCTTGTGCCATATCACTAACAATATCAATTTCATTTATTTGACTTCGAAGTATTTCTGTTTGACTTTTTTCTGGTGATGCTGTATCAAAATATGGTGATCCAATTGTATCAAAGGATTTCTTTCGTGTAGGACTATCAATATTAATTGTATTAGGTTGTTTTGAAGTAGTACGAGAACCTAATGTTGAAATATGTGTATCAGAATTACTCGGAGTAATCGAATCAATTGATGGTGAAGATGACGATGAAGAAATTTGTGGAACTAATGATATATTTATTAATGAACGATTAGAACTTTCAGATTCTTCTTTACTTTTACGTGAAGCAAATAATAATCTAAATATAAGAAAAGCAAAAAAGAAATATAATAAAAAGAACAAAGATATTTACATACTTATAAAACCAATCTTCTTTATCAGGACAAGTTTCAAAGAAAATACTTAATGTTGTTTGAGAATTATTAAAAAATTCTTCGGCAACAGATTTTGATTTTTCATAATTTTGTTTATTAGTTATTTCTTTATTTAATATTTCTGCATTTTTTATTACAATGGGATACTCATTTACCCAATATTTTACACGAGATAATGTTGCTTCGGGAACAAGTATCAATTTGGCATCTAAAATTTAACAAACAAAAAGAAAATTCTAAATTATTCTCAAATTTTTTTTTTATTAAGAATATAAATTAGTAAATATCATGCATGTGCAAGATTGTTATAAAGAGACTAGCTTCGCTCTTCTCTCTCTTCGTTTTTTATCCCTCTGATGAGTGATGTGCCTGTTATCATACCAGCTATTAAACTTTATTGTTAGGACATTGTTTGAAGTAGAATGTAATTCCAAATGCTGGAAGTTAAAAGAAGGAATTTATTCGTTAATAGTAGGTCCATAATATTCGGACTTATACCCGGTCAAATTATACTTTAATACTCTGAATGAGATTTTCTCATCAGAATGGGATAGTCGCCTCGAAGATACGAGATACTTTTATCAGACTTTTTTTGTATTTGGTGACTAGCGCCCATTACACACTTCTCAGATGACTAGAATCCGTTTAGTTACGATTAAAATGATCATATATATATAAATATATATGAACATATGATGACATCTTGTCTAATTGAATATTCTTGCGTGGTATTTATAACTTGATATTGTTGTTTATACATAAATGTTCAAAAAATGAAACACTATCTTTTAAGAAATATTATATCGTCAGAAATTTCTCCAGTTACTGTTAGGCATATCCATGCCTTGTTCAGTAAGAAGAATATTGGCAGTTGAGCCACTGGCCAAAAAAGATTTTTGCCAATAATTGTTATCCTGGCCTCATGTTTTTATGTTCGGTGAATCTCCCTAGTGCATAGCGTTTCTATTAACCTAGAGTCTGTGACCAACTATGATCCAAATGAGAGTTAATTTGAAATGTTTATTAATCGATAAATAGATTACCTTTAATTAAATATTCTCGATGACCAACAAATCTAATTTCTTTATCTTTTTTTTCTTCTGATTTAGTTTTTGTTGGTAATTGAATAATAAGATGATCATCATCAAGAAGCATCACAATTGGATATCGTATAAATTGTTCATCTTGATCAGGATCATATTGTCCAAAAGCAACTTCGCAACATATCTGGAAATGAATTATTCATAATATTTTTTTTTTTGTTTTGTTTTTAGTTTATATTTAAATCGAAATCTTACAGGTACACTTTTATATTTCTCTACTTTAATGATTTTATCTTGAAGTATTGTTTCTAATTCTGGAAAATCTATCCATTCATGTGCATTTAATTCATTAGCTTTGATATTAAGATACATTCGTATAATAATATAAGCAATAGATGAAGCACACAAAAAACCAAGGATAAAACCACTAAGAAGTGGTGATAATGGTTTCCATAATATTATTATTATTGAAATAATACCAACAATAAACTAATTATAGAAACAAAAATAAACAAATTAGATTAAGTTTTCTAATACATACTGATGTTGGATAAATTGTATCACGTTTGAAATTCGATTCTGATTCAATAGTATGTTGACGAAATTTTGGTCCAGCTAATAACATAGTTATATTTTGTTTATTTTTATCATTGTTTACAATATTTGATTTAATTGTTGTTTCAATTGTATCAGTTTTTTTGGTAACATAATCATCTGAACCACTTTCGCTTAGTGCTCCACTACAACTACGATTCAATCCTTGACGTATATTATTTATAATCATATCTTTTGCTCGTTCACTGTTTTCTGTTGAAAATATATCTTGAAATGAATTACTAAGAACTGTTTCTGTTGTTGAAACAGTTGATGTTTCATTTGTTGTTTTTTTTGTAACGGCTGTTGCTAATTGAGATGCTGAATTCGAACGTTCTGTAATCGAACCATCATCACCTATGCAATTAAAAAAAAAATATACAAATGAGTTTTTGTTTTTTTTTCTTCCTATGATTAAAACTTAATAAACATCGAGAGAAATCAAATTTACATTATATCAATTGAGTTACATTATAGAGAATTATCATTAGAGAAATGTTGATAGACAAATATAATATGCAGAGTTGTTTCGAAATGACCTTATTTCTCAGTATACTAAGAAAATAATTATTTTCTTGAGTACAATTATTAGATGTAGGGCACAACATCCTTCTAATTGTTTATTCTTTGACTCGAGCTTGTCATCTATTTAAACTTATTCGATAATCTTTATTGCTTTGTTTTCCTTAATCTTCTTTTTCTTTTGTTTAATATTATTTACACATACGAGTTTTTACGGTTATTTATTATAGATTGAAAATCAATAATTGATATTCTATTATTGTTTTTTTGATAGATTACACTTTCTGAGAGAGAAAAAAAAGTATTTTGATTGATGAGAAAGACTTTTTGTATATGCATACGGAAATACAACGTGTTGTATTTTATGATTAGATGTGCCCTTTACGATACATTATTTTACAATGTAATTTTTAAACGTGATTAGAATCTGAAATTCAATACATTTATGATTTTATTATGAGAGAGCAAATAATTAATGCATTTTCATTAAATTTGAATTTGATAAAATCTTTTCTAGAACTCCATGAGAGAAAGATTGAGATTTAACCATTTTCAGCCTGTTTCATGTGCATTAGATGACTCAGTGGTAGCCCATTCGTGATCACTAATCGATCTCTCGAGGTGGTCTTGAACAATAACTAGTCATAAAATTATTTTACACGATGACATGAACAAATGTCGAAGTTCGACAAATTCAATTGAATCAATTATATTTAGCTATATTGAAAAAATAATAAATGAATAATTATCAGATAGACATATGACATATTTGATTACAATATGATACATTTAATTTTACTATCTATATAGCAATTCTATCAAAATTCTTGTCATAGAAATATCTGATAAAAATGCTTCACTGAAATGATGAGAAGAAAATTAAAAAAAAAAAAAAAAACATTTAGAATAAATCATTCCTTTCTGTAAAAATTTATGTATTGTTTTTTTCTTAAATCAAACATAGAATGACTTGTATTATTTGATGAATAGAATAGAAACAAAAGAAAAAAGGACAGCTGGAAATGTAATAATATATAATTGATTCTATTAGATGACACTATTAGTTTTCATATCTTACCAGAAGCATGTCTTTGACGAATTTCAATTGGTGTTGAAGATTTTTTTTCAATAATTAATGATTCTTCTGATTGATTTGGACGTGTAATAAAATGTATTTGATTATTATTAGCATTACTATGTGATTGTTTACGACGTTCAATATTATCAGCAATATCTTCTTTAATAGTAGTTATTTTTTGTCCAAGTTTTTCAAAAACACTACTTTTTTTCGGATGATCTTGATTGGGTGTAAGCATATTATTTGTACTGGTGAAATTACCAAATGTTGTTAATGAAGGTATTTCAGATAATCGATGATATGTATTTGTCTAGAATCACAAAGGGAAAATATATAATCAGTACTTTGTATTATTGCATCTGACAAAGGAATGCTAAAAAAGAATAGTATGACAGAAAAAAAGAGGAAGTAGGCGAAGCAAAGCAAAAGAAAAATAATAGAAAAAAAAACAATGTTGTCGATACATGATTGGTTGTAACAGCAAGTATTCCAATTGTTTGTATAAAAGAAATGGAAGTGGTATGATAAAGTTCGTATGTATGATGATTCATTTTATAGTACAGAAAAGTGTATAATTTAGAATTGAGCAATAATCCAGGTCTTTTTGTTTTCGTTTTTTGAAACTTAATTATATAACATATGACAATTACAAAATAAATTTGTTCTACTTTTGTTTTTTCATATTACTTTCTCTTTCCAAAAAATAATAGTAATAGAATTTAGTTTGAAACTATTTTACTTTAGCAAATAAACGACGAACTCGATCCATAATTGTCAAATATAATTAATAAGACCGTAATAAATTATACAAGTCTATAATTCTTAAATCTTTATTATCATAATATAAATAGTTTCATGACATTTTTAATAAAAAGATATAAAGCGCGCAAATACAACAAATATGTTATGGAAAAATTGATTTAATAGAAAAAAAATACATTAGCAGCTGACATTGTTTATTTGAGTAAAGTTAACTATGTAATATATTAATTCTATAGATGTCGTCAACAGTCGTTGATATACATCATTTAAAATTGAAAATAAATGAGGATTATGGATTATTTTGTAATACAATATTTTTAACCTTTTACGTTGCTTCAGATTTGTTTTAAAATTTGACAAATAATACATTAACATATATATGACATGGGCAAAATCAACGATACGACGACATTAAAGTCATCAATTTGATTGTAATTCTCTATAAGTATTATTTCTTTTTCGATAAATACAGAAGAATATTAATTATTTCAACTCATACATAATTAATCTTCATTAATTAATTATAATGCAATTAGCGAATAACTCTTTAATCTTATGACAGTCGAGCCCAAGAGTTCCAGAATAGATTCTTCGCTGTCACAGAGTATATCTGTGGGAAATTTTTAGCAAGATCAGATTTTTAAAAATTGTCTATTCAAAATCGATTTCTCAGAGATCTGTTTATGTCCCAAAATGATACTTTTTGTTTTCTTGTTATCTCGAGATTTCTTAATAGGAATTGTATCATGATGAATCGCCTTTTAAACTTCTCATTCAGTTACAAGAAGTTTTTTGTTTCGATCTTCATACTCACTCATGTTGCTAACAAGAAACAAACTTTGTTTCTTGAAAAACTTAAGTCTTAAGTATGTTTAGAAAAAAGCATTGTGTACAGATTTTATTGTCTATAGAATTGTTTACAAAACGTATTATTTAGTTTCTCAATAGTACTTTTTAACTTGCAGCTTTTGTAAATAGAAAGACGAGCATTGAAAATCGTCATGCTTTTTCGTATCACGTCGTAAACGCTAGATTTTTAATAATAACTTGAAGAAAAAAGTGTATAGGACTGAGTTCTTTCGAATATCTAGAGTAACATAACATAGTTCTGCTAAATAACAAATTAGTTAGAAGAAATTTCAAAGACCAGATATGTATGCATTTTATTTTGTAACATCATGTTGCCAACAAATGAAATTCCCATTAACACGAGAGCTATCATATTATACCATACATATAAGCATGAGTATTATTACTTTTAGTTAGTACATATGGATTCTTTTATCTAAAAGATGCAATGATACATGTAAATATGTATGCTAATACTTTTATTTCAACTTACAATATTATGATATAGAAATATATGTCATGAGATGAATCTTAACTGATTCGATATGTAAGATTTGACGATTTCAATATTATACTACAATAGTATAAATTTATTTTAAATAAAGTAACACAATTCGAGATCGTTTTCTCACTTACAATATATCAAATAACCACTGTGTACACACTTGAAAAACTGTGCACCTATAGACAGAACAAAAAAATGAATAGAAATTCGAAAGTAACCTTAGATTTTTATTAAACCCTAAATGCTACTAATTATATCGGGTGAGAATTCTATTGATAAATTTTCACGAAAATAGATAGAGGAATCGAATAAACACTATCAGAATACTTTTTTAAAGAGCAATATTATATAGTATTGAATACTTATTATTTGTCAAAGGTATATTTTCGTTTACTGTTTTTATTATGTATAATTCAATGAATAGGTTTTTTTTACATTCAAAAACTGAAAAGTAAAAATTAATCGCAACGTTGAATCTATAGTATGTTTGACACAAAATATAATTCTTTTCTATTCTCTACACACAAAACAATGTACGAGAGAGAGAAGCATGTAAACACTTAGAAAGATATACCTCACAGAATGAATGTCTAAATAAACTTGCTCATAAAATGAAAACTGGATACTGCTAAATAGAGAGCTGCTGATCCTTCTCGACCTAAGTTTGTGTCAAGATTAAGCTCTAGATCCGATTTGCAATCAAATTTGATTCTGAAAACGAAAGTTTCATAGTGAGTCTGTAGTCTTCTTTTTCAAGTTTTGATATCGTTTATGTGAATACAGCTAAAACTATGTTGTATGGCTGAAGATTTTGGTGTGGCTGCTACTTTGATATGTTTTCAACTAGGATTTGTATCCGATCAGGCCCGAGTCCACAAAAAATGTGAATCCACAGCTTTCTACCGATATGTACTTATGGGATTGATCGAAACATTACGAAAAAACGAAAGATCCTAGAAGGCAACCATGGACTTCAAGGAAAATCTATCGAGCAATACGTAATTAAATGTTCATATTGACGAAATCGTTTTGAAATAAGAATTTTGTTTTCTTTTTAATAAAGAATTCACGAAAGAAATGATAAATATCATATTCCCAATCTCTTCTACAGTAAGTTATCCTAAATACAACGATAGATTTAAAAAATGTTATCTGAACGCACACTGTAGTAGAGTGTCTTGTACTTCAATGAAGTTTTCAGATATTTCTATATTTATCAGATTAATCTAAACATTAAATACAAATATTGAAAATATTCATAAGATAATTATCTGTTTCAAGTCAAACTAGCTCTGAATATATCAATATTTGTTTGACCAATTTATATTCGGCAACAATCAATGCATAGAAAGAAGATCACAAATAGCAAGTGACATACTCTTTTATCTTGAATTTTAAGTACTTTATATAAATAAAACTGAAGATTCAAGCATAAACTACTAATCAATCATCACTTATACATTTTGATTTAAGTTCCTTATTCATTTATTTTTAAAACAACCATAATCCAAATCATGTGACATCATACAGTAATGTAAACTTACACCATCGGTGTTAAAGATCTTCTTTCATTTCAGATAAATTCATTCATATAATAAGTCAAACATAAATTTTCAATTTTCTTTGAATATAATATGCTAGTTGAAACGTATGTTTTTTGCATAGATAACAAAACAATTGTTGCTATACGACATTTTAATCATGAACAAGTGAACACATTAAAGATTGTGTAAATCAAATTAAATTCTTTATCTTCAAAATTGAAAATATGATCAATTGATACAGAATTAATCAAAACAAAGGTATTTTTGTAAAACATATGTAAAAGATGCATAATTCTCATGTCAAGTGACAATATTAAAATAACAATGTTTTTGTATTGATTGAAATAAATTCCTTTCAAATATATGAATTATTGTAAATTCATATTGTCTATCTTCAAGTTATGCTAAAGAAAAACTGAATGATTTATTAAACTATTAGTTTCTGAGAAAACATAATAATAATAATAAATAAACTGTTTTTCCTCTAGTTTCGTTTTTATCAATTTGTCTCAAACAAACTCAACAAAAATAATTATCAATTACCTGAAGTACAAAAGAGTACGGGTATGAGCATCAGTCATCTCTGTCACGACAAACTGGATGAGCAGATTGCCACCACTCTCGGCAATGATGTTTATTTAACTACTTCACATACAACACACGCTTATTTAGGAGAGAGGAAGAGAGAGAGAGGTGAACACAAGAAAAGACAATAGAGATAAGATACAGAGGGCAGAGGAAAGAAAGATCAACGGGAGATGATATCGATATCGGCACAATCTCTTCATCCACCCACTCATACCTACACCCGCATCTTACACCAGACTTGTTCTATACTACTTAGACTTCTCATCTACAAGCACAGTGAAACGAAAGAGTAAGAATGTCTTCATGTGAACAGCAGAGATATTCTATAATGAACTTCTTCGAACTAACTCAAACTGTTTAGGAACCTGAATAAACCACATATCTGTCAGTAGATGGGCGAGTACGGATTAAGAGAAGATATCCATACTTCGATTGACGAGCACACGCACAGATGTATCCATTTATCCTAAAATAGTTTGATGAAAGAATGATACAGCACGATAACCACCTAGGAGGGAACAGCCAGCCTTATCTAGAATGGTTAAATATGCTCAAACACAAATGATAGTTGAAGCGATTCAAAAGGAAAACGTTAGAATCAATCAGAAGTCAGAAAGAGACTAAAAGAGCACTATCGTCATATTGTAGTTATCATTGAGCTTAGAATCACATTTCGTTCACCATCTGTACTATTGAATGTGGGTGTCGTTGAGACAAGAAGCACACTCCACCCTAATAAAAATAGAGGTATATACCATACCATAGATATCATCATAATTCTAAAGACCTGCAAGATCTCCATTTCAGTTTGAAATCGAGTGTTTTGTTTTTCTTCTAAATTGAAATTGAAATTAAAAGAATCGTTGTATGGATCTTATACAAGGTGGTTTGGCTGCTCTCTCATTACTTGAGATTTTCTTCATACGTATGCATCGATTGTGGTCTTTTGCAACATCATTGTATCATGCGTTACGTCGAAAAATTTTTTTTTTTAAATGATGTCTCAAAGAATAAAACACCAAAATATTCAAACACGATTCTAAATGTTTTCGTATGTTTTTTTTTTTGGTTATTTTTTCAAGAGAAATAAACTAACATCATTTGATGAACGTCATTTAATGACGAACATATTTGATGTATATTATCTTCTATCTATATATACATAAATCAGATATATGTCAGTATAGTTGAATCTTGTCTTTGAATTTCACCAGAAGGAACTCATTTTAGATATATAAAATCACTATAGATGGTTGAACAGTTTAAATGAAAAGTATTAAATATGTAATTATTTCGAAGAATCCTTTCCATAATCGTAATTCTCGCTGATTTCTGTAGACAAAAACAAAACAACAGGGAAATTTCGGAAAGTTAGTTAAAATTATTATCAATCACCAATAGAAAATTTATTGGTTGATTTTCAATTTTAACAAAAGCTACTTTTTCTTGACAAAATAATTTTCAAAAATATTCTTGAACGAGTTAATGTACCATAATAAATGAAGCTTTTTTCCTTGTTTA